ATTTTCTGTCACAAGTGCATAGCTATATTACGTATTTTCACAACACCGACGATTTTCTGTCACAAGTGCATACAGTTGTAGCTATGTTACGTATCTTCACATTACCGACGATTTTCTGTCACAAGTGCATACAGTTGTAGCTATGTTACGTATTTTCACAACACCGACGATTTTCTGTCACAAGTGCATAGCTATATTACGTATTTTCACTACACCGACAATTGTTCTGTCACAGGTGTATATATATCTATATTACGTATTTCCACTACACTGACAATTTTCTTTAACAAGTGCATAGCTATATTACGTATTTTCACAACATCGGGAACATCTGTATTCGATTTTTAGTTAAGGACTTAATGCACTCGCAATAGCTAAAGACATATGAACACGGTCTATAGTATATATTAGTATATAAATAATTACTGCAATGCTAAATTATAGCTAAGTCGATCAGAATAAAATCTTGAACATCCGCCGGTCTTAAAGGAGACCGAGTACAAACGTTCAGGCTTCAACATTATCGAGAAAAGGCTTGATAGCGCATGTGTCCACGTGTTGGGTCTTGTCCAGCAGTTGTTGAAGGTTGAAGTGCTTGAGAGCTTTTGTAAGATGAGCCTGAACCTGTTGTATCTCCCCTTCAGAGCGCTCCTCAAACAGGTTCACCACGGGAGTGCTCCTGCTATGAAATGCGTAATCTGGGAAATAGGGACCAAGGCTTGGATTGAAGGAGAAAAATTTTGGTAATTTACTTCTGGTCAAAGCGCTCTTTAGCATGAAGACCAGATAGCCGAGAGCCTCCGAGACACTTGACAACGACACGGCATTGACCTTGGTCAGACACAGCAGGCTGTGGAGCAAGATGTTCTTGATGTGGTAAGACGTAAGGACATGGTGAAGCTGTGAGCTACAATTCCGGTCTTTATCCTTGACGCGAAGACCTTTTAGGATTCGTGCAGCTCGGACAAGACGTTTGCCAGTAAGATTTTCGACGCCCCATTTATCAAAAATATGCATTTCAAAATGCGAATGGGACACACGCCAAACCGTAGCGGGATCCGGAATACGGACAGTCCGAGTGATGTTTTTAGAGCTTGGAATCCAACGAGTCACCAAAAACTTCCTTAATGAGGAGGAGTTGGCAAATGTATCGACGCCTGGATTTATGATGAAAGCTAGTGTGATGGCCGGTGGGCTGGTCTCTCTCCTAAAATGGAAGGAACCAAATGAAGGGTCTTCGTCATGGAAATCCTGTGAGCTGCTGACATACCTCTCAACATCTCTCTCTGCAGACAATGAGGAGGAGCTGGCATATATCTCAAAGCCTGGAACGACATCGATGCTGACCATCTCCCCATTTATGATGACATCTAGTTTGATGGCTGGTGCGCTGGCCTGTCTCCTAATATTGAAGGAACTCATGGAAGGGTCTTGGTTGAACTTCTGTACTGCTGTGTCGATCAAACTCTTGAAGAGTTTGTCATGGAAAACCTCTGAGCTGACATATCTCTCACCATCTCTATCTACAAACAACTCTACCGGCCGTATGGCCACTCTATCACTTATTCTCTTGATACAAATTTCTGCTAAACCTGGAGGCAGATTGTTTTCGGGTGTTTCTATCACCTTCGCAGTGATGCCGGTGAAGGTAAACGGCAGCAATGCATCAAACTCGTTAGCTGCCCCGACCTTCAGACCTTCCCTGGAGCCACCTTGTTTAAGAAATGGCTTTAGTCTCAGAAAGGGATGCGTCGATTCAGCACGCTTAAGCTCTGTGTATAAACTCTTCAGCAGCTGATCAATTTGCACTTGTACATCTTGGAAACTTGCACCCCTAATGTTGACGTTGTGATCGTAAAATTGCTTCAACTCCTTGTCCTCTGGTCCACACCAAACAGAATCATCGTTAGAGGGAGGTAACCAACAGTTGGGAGCGCTCACACCAGGCGCATACCAAGCATCGCCATTTCCACTGAAATGTAAAAGATTTTCTAATGAAAAAGGTTTAGCATGAATGTACAGTTACCTTGATTGGTAAAGAATATGTATTATGATCTAGCTAGTGTCCTCTGTTGAAACTTTGACCTCATATTCAATAGCAGTCCCTTATTCCAAATGATGATTATTTAAAAGATATCACAGTGTTGCAAAAGCATTATATTTTACGAGCAAGATAATATTTGTGTTTGTATCACAAATTTATAAGAATACTGGCATCGAATAATCACATATATTAACTTAATACGCAATACAAAGGTCAATTGTTTATGTACCCAACAATCCTTGACAAAGAACTTATATACACACGATACCTGGTCCCAGTTGTTATGTATACACGATATCTGGTCCCAGTTATTATGTATACACGATAACTGGTCCCAGTTATTATGTATACACGATATCTGGTCCCAGTTATTATATACACACTATTCCTGGTCCCAGTTTTTATGCACACACCACACCTGGTCCCAGTTAGTATATACACACGATAATAAACTGGTCCCAGTTGCTATGTACACACGAAACCTGGTCCAAGTTGCTATGTACACACGATACCTGGTCCCATTTAGTATGTACACACGATACCTGGTCCCAGTTAGTATGTACACACGATACCTGGTCCCATTCAGTATGTACACACGATACCTGGTCCCATTTAGTATCTACACACGATACCTGGTCCCAGTTAGTATGTACACACGATAATAAACTGGTCCCAGTTGCTATGTACACACGATACCTGGCCCCAGTTAGTATGTACACACGATAATAATCTGGTCCCAGTTGCTATGTACACACGATAATAAACTGGTCCCAGTTGCTATGTACACACAATACCTGGCCCCAGTTGTTATGTACAAATGATACCTTGTCCCAGTTAGTATTTTCACACGATACCTGGTCCCAGTTGTTATGTATACACGATACCTGGTCCCAGTAAGTACTGTATGCACACACGATACCTGGTCCCTGTTGATATGTACACACGATATCTGGTCCGAGTAAGTATATACATACGATACCTGGTCCAAGTTGGTATGCACACAGTATACCTGGTCCGGGTTAGTACGTACACAGGATACCTGGTCCAGGTTATTATGTAAACACGATATCAATTTGGTCCGAGTTTGTATGTACACACGATACCTGGTCCGAGTTTGTATGCACACACGATACCTGGTTCAAGTTGTTATGTACACACGATATCAATCTGGTCCCAGTTGGTATGCACACACGATACCTAGTCCGAGTTTGTATGCACATACGATACCTGGTCCGAGTTAGTATATACACATGATAATAAACTGGTCCCAGTTGCTATGTACACACGATACCTGGTCCGAGTGTGTATGTACATACGATACCTGCACACATGATAATAAACTGGTCCCAGTTGATATGTACACACGATAATAAACTGGTCCCAGTTGCTATGTACACACAATACCTGGTCCCAATTGTTATGTACAAACGATACCTTGTCCCAGTTAGTATTTTCACACGATACCTGGTCCCAGTTGTTATGTACACACGATACCTGGTCCCAGTTGTTATGTATACACGATACCTGGTCCCAGTTGTTATGTACACACAATACCTGGTCCCAGTTGTTATGTATACACGATACCTGGTCCCAGTAAGTACTGTATGTACACACGATACCTGGTCCCTGTTGGTATGTACACACGATATCTGGTCCGAGTAAGTATATACATACGATACCTGGTCCAAGTTGGTATGCACACAGTATACCTGGTCCGAGTTAGTACGTACACAGGATACCTGGTCCAGGTTATTATGTACACACGATATCAATCTGGTCCGAGTTTGTATGTACACACGATACCTGGTCCGAGTTTGTATGTACACACGATACCTGGTCCGAGTTTGTATGCACACACGATACCTGGTGCAAGTTGTTATGTACACACGATATCAATCTGGTCCCAGTTGGTATGCACACACGATACCTGATCCGAGTTTGTATGTACATNGATACATGGTCTAAGTTTGTATGCACACACGATACCTGGTCCGAGTTTGTATGTACACACGATACCTGGGCCGAGTTTGTATGTACACACGATTCCTGGTCCGAATTTGTATGTACACATGATAACTGGTCCGAGTATTTATGCACACATGATATCTGGTCCCAGTTGTTATGTACAAACGATATCACTCTGGTCCCAGTTGGTATGCACACACGATATCAATCTGGTCCCAGTTGGTATGCACACTCGATACCTGGTCCGAGATGGTATGCACATACGATACCTGGTCCCAGCAGGTATAAACACATGATGCCTGCTCCCAGTTGTTATGTACACACGACAACTGGTCATTGTTAGTATGTACACACGATATCTAATCTCAGTTATGTACACACGATGCCTTGTCTCCAGTTGGTATGTGCACACGACATCTAGTCCCAGTTATGTACACATCAAACTTTGTCCCCAGTTGTTATGTATACACGATACCTGGCCCAAGTTGCTATGTACACATCATTCCTGGTCCGAGTTGTAATGTATACACGATACCTGGTCCCAGTTGTTATGTATACACGATACCTGGTCCCAGTTAGCACTGTATGTACACACGATATCTGGTCCGAGTAAGTATATACATACGATACCTGCTCCAAGTTAGTATGTACACACAATACCTGGTCCAGGTTATTATGTACACACGATATCATTCTGTTCCGAGTTTGTATGCACACACGATACCTGGTCCCAGTTGTTATGTACACACAATACCTGGTCCCAGTTGTTATGTATACACGATACCTGGTCCTAGTTAGTACTGTATGTACACACGATACCTGGTCCCAGTTAGCACTGTATGTACACACGATATATGGTCCGAGTAAGTATATACATACGATACCTGCTCCAAGTTAGTATGTACACACAATACCTGGTCCAGGTTATTATGTACACACGATATCAATCTGGTCCCAGTTGGTATGCACACACGATACCTAGTCCGAGTTTGTATGTACATACGATACCTGGTCCGAGTTTGTATGTACACACGATATCTGGTCCGAGTAAGTATATACATACCATCCCTGCTCCAAGTTGGAATGCACACAGGATACCTGGTCCGACTTATTATGTACACACGATACCTGGTCCAGGTTATTATGTACACACGATTCCTGGTCCTAGTTAGTACTGTATGTATACACGATTCCTGGTCCTAGTTAGTATGTTCACACGATATCTTATTCCAGTTGTTAAGTATACACGATATCGGACGATCATTGTTGTTATGTAGACACGATATCCGGTCCCAGTTGTTGTGTACACACAATATCGGTCGATCATTGTTGTTATGTACACACGATATCTGAACCCCAGTTGTTATGCACACACGATACCTGGTTCAAGTTGTTATGTACACACGATATAAACTGGTCCCAGTTGCTATGTACACACGATACCTGGTCCGAATTTGTATGTACACATGATACCTTGCTATGTACACACAATACCTGGTCCAGGTTATTATGTACACACGATATCAATCTGGTCCCAATTGGTATGCACACACGATACCTGGTCTGAGTTTGTATGTACACACGATACCTGGTCCGAGTTTGTATGTACACACGATACCTGGTCCAGGTTATTATGTACACACGATATCAATCTGGTCCCAGTTGGTATGCACACACGATACCTGGTCCGAGTGTGTATGTACATACGATACCTGGACCGAATTTTTATGTACACGATACATGGTCTGAGTTTGTATGCACACACGATACCTGGTCTGAGTTTGTATGTACACACGATACCTGGTCCGAATTTGTATGTACACATGATACCTGGTCCGAGTATGTGTGCACACATGATATCTGATCCCAGTTGGTATGTACACACGATATCAATCTGGTCCCAGTTGGTATGCACACACGATATCAATCTGGTCCCAGTTGGTATGCACACTCGATACCTGGTCACAAATGTTATGTATACACGATACCTGGTCCTAGTTAGTATGTTCACACGATACCCGGTCACAGTTGTTATGAACACATCATACCTGGTCCCAGTTGTTATGTATACACGATACCTGGTCCCAGTTAGTACTGTATGTACACACGATACCTGGTCCCTGTTGGTATGTACACACGATATCTGGTCCGAGTAAGTATATACATACGATACCTGCTCCAAGTTGGAATGCACACAGGATACCTGGTCCGACTTATTATGTACACACGATATCTGGTCCAGGTTATTATGTACACACGATATCAATCTGGTCCGAGTTTGTATGCACACACGATACCTGGTTCAAGTTGTTATGTACACATGATATCAATCTGGTCCCAGTTGGTATGCACACACGATACCTGGTCCGAGTTTTTATGTACACGATACATGGTCTGAGTTTGTATGTACACACGATACCTGGTCCGAGTTTGTATGTACACGCGATGCCTGGTCCGAGTTTGTATGTTCACACGATATCTGGTCCCAGTTGGTATGCACACACGATACCTGGTCCGAATTTGTATGTACACATGATACCTGGTCCGAGAATGTATGCACACATGATATCTGGTCCCAGTTGTTATGTACACACGATGTCAATCTGGTCCGAGATTGTATGCACATACGATACCTTGTCCGAGTTTGTATGTTCACACGATATCTGGTCCCAGCCGGTATATACACATGATGCCTGCTCCTAGTTGTTATGTACACACGACAACTGGTCCTTGTTAGTATGTACACACGATATCTAATCCAAGTTATGTACACACGATGCCTTGTCTCCAGTTGGTATGTGCACACGACATCTAGTCCCAGTTATGTACACATGATATCTCGGCCCCAGTTGATATGTACACACGATATCTACATGGTCCCAAGTTGTTATGTACACACCATATCTAGTCCCAGTTGGTATGTACACAAAACATCTGGTCCCAGTTATGAACACATGCTATCTGGGCCCCAGTTGTTATGAACACATGAGATCTGTTCCCAGTTGTTATGTACACACTATATCTGGTCCTAGTTGTTATGTACACACGATATCCGGTCCCAGTTGTTGTGTACACACGATATCGGTCGATCATTGTTGTTATGTACACACGATATCTACATACTTTATTGGTTTATTTTAGAGGTGAAGTCTGAAGACGCTTCACGATCTGTAGTTATATTCACCACGTCATCATTTTCAAATATCAAATTCAATTTTGGTATAGAGGTATATCATAGTCATATTAACAACATATCTTCTGATGTGGCTTACTTTATTCAGTATTTTTAAAGATTGTGTCGTGCGACGCCAGTTGTCACTTGAAGACGCTTATTGTCGGTTCAAGACGCTTTAAATGTTGACCGAAATGAAGGGATCCTGACATTATACAAATAATGCAGTCAGAAATTCCAACCCTAAACGTACTGGTGCACACGTCATGCACGTGCACACATCTGACTACATTATGTGTAGACCGGTTAGGCGTACCATACGCATAATTGCAACATGGTCCCTGTATCTATGACGACATTACTTGGTGTTTTCTTGAAATGCAGTCTGGTTTCGATGGGATTGCCAGTAACCTGGCTTGTCAAAGTTACTCCTACAATCAACTGTACAATTAATTTACCACGTGTCTCTACGATAAGGACCTTAAATGCCTGTCTCCTCCAACCCAATAACTTGACTCACCTGTCCGCCATCACTGCTCAGCTTTGTTCAATGGAGGCTCGCCACGTGTGCATTAGGTGATATGCATGCATTAGGCGATAACGAATCCGAAAGTAGATCGTCTACTTCCTTCTGGGAAACCAAAATCTCTTTCTGGAAAACCACTACTAATAATCTTTAAAAAACGAACCACCTGTTACTGGTTAGCCTGCTTCAAAGCTCCAACGCTCCTTTCTACCTGTAACATAAGTGTTCGGCCAGAGTAGATTGAAATTAAAACACAAAGATAAGCACACTCGAAGACAGTGAGTCAGTACGACACGAGACATATATAAATAGTAGCCTCGGCCGCTTATGGTGACCTTTTGCTTCTTTTTAAGAGCTGAATATTTTACATTTTTTGTGCATGTTAGTTTCACCAAGCATTATTTGTTTTCAATTCTTTTGAATGACGTCACAGAGCGAAAGACAACGTCATAAATGTGATGAACTTTGACTTTTAGTAACAATGTAATACACAGTTAATCCACCGTCGTCTAGCTACAAACTGTTTGATTCAGAATCGTAGTTCATCATGCAGTTGTATATAACATACAGTTGGAACTAATTATCGCCGTCAAATCTTTTGCTATCACCATTATTAGCATTAGTTTATGCTTACCGTCTCAGAATTAGGTTTTCCGTCTTTGCGTATTAAAGAGTAATCTTCTCTTGGGAGCAGGTATTGATTGTTACGTCATTTGTTTGTGAGAGTAACGTCATCAATTTTTGAGAAAAAGACGTAAATTTCTCGCACAAACCAATGACGTAACAATCAATACCTGCTCTCAAGAGAAGATAAATCTGCAAACCGCAAAGACGGAATAGTGGTAGTGACAGACATTGGTATGGTGGTAGTGACAGACTTTGGCATGATTGGTAGTGACAGACTTAGGTATGGTGGTAGTGACAGAGTTTGGCATGATTGGTAGTGACAGACTTCGGTATGATTGGTAGTAACAGACGTAGGTATAGTGGTTACGAAAGACTGTGGTATAGTTGGTAGTGACATATTTGGTATAGTGGTAGTGACAAAGTTAGGTATGGTGGTAGTTACAGACTTTGGTATGGTTGGTAATGACAGACTTTGGTATGGTGGTAGTGACAGACATGTGTATGGGGGTAGCGACAGACTTTGGTATAGTTGGAAGTGACATATTTGGTATAGTGGAATCGACAAACTTTGGTATGGCTGGTAGTGACAGACTTAGGTTAGTGGTAGTGATAGACTTCAATATGGTGGCAGTAACAGACATTGGTATAGTGGTATTGAAAGACTTTGGTATGGTAGTAGTGACAGACTTTGGTATGGTCGGTAGTGACAGAGCTAGGTATGGTGGTAGTGACAGACTTTGGTATGGTGGTAGTGACAGACTTTGGTATGGTGGTAGTTATATACTTAGGTATAGTGGTAGTGACAGATTTTGGCATGATTGATAGTGACAGACTTTGGTATGATTGGTAGTGACAGACTGAGGTATAGTGGTAGCGAAAGACTATGGTATAGTTGATAGTGACAGACTTAGGTATGGTGGTATTTACAGACTTTGGTATGGTGGTAGTGACATACTTTGGTATGTGGTATTGACAGACTTTGATATGGTGGTAGTGACAGACTTTGGTATGTTGGTAGTGACAGACCTTGGTATGGTGGTAGTGACAGACATTTGTATGGTGGTAGTGACAGACTTTGGTATGGTGGTAGTGACAGACTTAGGTCAGTGGTAGTGATAGACTGTAATATGGTAGCAATGACAGACTTAGGTATGGTGGCAGTGACAGACATTGGTATAGTGGTAGTGAAAGACTTTGGTATGGTAGTAGTGACAGACTTTGGTATGGTAGTAGTGACAGACTTTGGTATGGTTGGTAGTGACAGACTTAGGTATGATTGGTATTGACATACTTAGGTATAGTGGTAGCGAAAGACTATGGTATAGTTGGTAGTGACATATTTGGTATAGTGGTAGTGACAAAGTTAGGTATGGTGGTAGTTACAGACTTTGGTATGGTTGGTAATGACAGACTTTGGTATGGTGGTAGTGACAGACATGTGTATGGGGGTAGCGACAGACTTTGGTATGTCTTGTAGTGACAAACTTTGGTATGGGGGTAGTGACAGACTTTGGTATGGTGGTAGTGACAGACTTTCGTATGGTAGTAATGACAGGTTTTAGTATGGTGGTAGTGATAGACTTTGGCATGATTGGTAGTGACAGACTTTGGTATGGTGGTAGTGACAGACTTTGGTATGGTGGTAGTGACAGACTTAGGTCGGTGGTAGTGATAGACTGTAATATGGTAGTAATGACAGACTTAGCTATTGTGGCAGTGACATTGGTATAGTGGTAGTGAAAGACTTTGGTATGATAGTAGTGACAGACATTGGTATGGTCGGTAGTGACAGACTTAGGTATGATTGGTATTGACAAACTTAGGTATAGTGGTAGCGAAAGACCATGGTATAGTTGGTAATGACATATTTGGTATAATGGTAGTGACAAACTTAGGTATGGTGGTATTGACAGACTTTAGTATGGTTGTAGTGACATACTTTGGTATGGCTGGTAGTGACAGACTTAGGTATGGTGGTATTGACAGACTTTGGAATGGTGGTAGTGACAGACTTTAGTATGGTTTTAGTGACATACTTTGGTATGGCTGGTAGTGACAGACTTAGGTATGGTGGTATTGACAGACTTTGGAATGGTGGTAGTGACAGACTTAGGTTAGTGGTAGTGATAGACTATGGTATAGTTGGTAGTGACATATTTGGTATAGTGGTAGTGACAAACTTAGGTATGGTGGTAGTGACAGACTTTAGCATGGTGGTAGTGACAGACTTTGGCATGATTAGTAGTGACAGAGTTAGATATGGTGCTAGTGACAGACTTTGGTATGGTGGTAGTGACAGACTTAGGTATGATGGTAGTGACAGACTTAGGTATGGTGGTAGTGACAGACTTCGGTATTGTTTGTAGAGACAGAGTTAGGTATAGTGGTATTGACAGATTTTTGTATGGTGGTAGTGACAGACTTTGGTATGTGGAAGTGACAGGCTTTGGTATGTTGGTATTGACAGACTTTGGTATTGTGGTAGTTATAGACTTAGGTAAGGTGCTAATGACAGCTTTTGGCATGAATGGTAGTGACAGACTTTGTAATGATTGAAAGTGACAGACTTAGGTATAGTGGTAACGACAGACTATGGTATAGTTGGTAGTGACAGACTTAGGTATGGTGGTATTTACAGACTTTGGTATGGTGGTAGTGACAGACTTTGGTATGTGGTGTTGACAGACTTTGATATGGTGGTAGTGGCAGACTTTGATATGGTTGGTAGTGACAGACTTTGGTATGGTAGTAGTGACAGACATTTGTATGGTGGTAGTGACAGACTTTGGTACGGTGGTAGTGACAGACTTAGGTCAGTGGTAGTGATAGACTGTAATATGGTAGCAATGACAGACTTCGGTATGGTGGTAGTGACAGACATTGGTATAGTGGTAGTAAAAGACTTTGGTATGGTAGTAGTGACAGACTTTGGTATGGTAGTAGTGACAGACTTTGGTCTGGTAGTAGTGACAGACTTTGGTATGGTTGGTAGTGACAGACTTAGGTGTACTGACATATTTGGTATAGTGGTATAGTGGTAGCGAAAGGCTATGGTATAGTTGGTAGTGACATATTTGGTATAATGGTAGTGACAAACTTAGGTATGGTGGTAGTTACAGACTTTGGTATTGTGGTAGTGACATACTTTGGTATGGGGGTAGCGACAGACTTTGGTATGGGGGTAGTGACAGACTTTGGTATGGTGGTAGTGACAGACTTTCGTATGGTAGTAATGACAGTTTTTGGTATGGTGGTAGTAACAGACTTAGGTCGGTGGTAGTGATAGACTGTAATATGGTAGTAATGACAGATTTAGCTATGGTGGTAGTGAAAGACTTTGGTATGATAGTAGTGACAGACTTTGGTATGGTAGTAGTGACAGACTTAGGTATGATTTGTATTGACATACTTAGGTATAGTGGTAGCGAAAGACCATGGTATAGTTAGTAGTGACATATTTGGTATAATGGTAGTGACAAACTTAGGTATGGTGTTAATGACGGACTTTAGTATGGTTGTAGTGACATACCTTGGTATGGCTGGTAGTGACAGACGTAGGTTAGTGGTAGTGATAGACTGTAATATGGTTGGTAGTGACAGACATAGGTATGATTGATATTGACAGACTTAGGTATAGTGGTAGCGAAAGACTATGGTATAGTTGGTACTGACATATTTGGTATAGTGGTAGTGACAAACTTAGGTATGGTGGTAGTGACAGACTTTAGATTGGTGGTAGTGACAGACTTTGGCATGATTGATAGTGACACACTTATGTATGGTGGTAGTGACAGACCTTAGTATGGTGGTAGTGACAGACATTGGTATAGTGGTATTGACAGACTTTGGTATGGTAGTAGTGACAGACTTTAGTATGGTGGTAGTGACAGACATTGGTATGGTGGTATTGACAGACTTTGGTATGGTAGTAGTGACAGACTTTAGTATGGTGGTAGTGACAGACTTTGGCATGATTGGTAGTGACAGGCTTTGGTATGGTTGGTAGTGACAGACTTAGGTATGGTGGCAATAACAGACATTGGTATAGTGGTATTGACAGACTTTGGTATGGTAGTAGTGACAGACTTCGGTATGGTTTGTAGAGACAGAGTTAGGTATGGTTGTATTGACAGATTTTGGTATGGTGGTAGTGACAGACTTTGGTATGTGGAAGTGACAGGCTTTGGTATGGTGGTAGTGACAGACTTTGGTCTGGTGGTAGTTATAGACTTAGGTAAGGTGCTAATTACAGCTTTTGGCATGATTGGTAGTGACAGACTTTGGTATGATTGAAAGTGACAGACTTAGGTATAGTGGTAGCGAAAGACTATGGTATAGCTGGTAGTGACAGACTTAGGTATGGTGGTATTTACAGACTTTGGTATGGTGGTAGTGACAGGCATTTGTATGGTGGTAGTGACAGACTTTGGTATGTGGAAGTGACAGGCTTTGGTATGGTGGGAGTGACAGACT